ACATCTATAGAACATTCTACCCAAACACAAAAAAATATACCTTCTTCTCAGCTCCACACGGAACCTTCTCTAAAATTGATCACATACTTGGCAACATAGCAAACCTCAACAGGTACAAAAAAATTGGAATAACCCCCCCGTATCTTATCAGACCACCACACTTTAAAGTTAGAATTCAACAACAACACAAACTGCAGAAACTCTACAAACTCATAGAAATCGAACAATATACAATTGCACCATTCCTGGGTCAAGGTAGAAATAAAGAGAGAAATTAAAGACTTCCTAGAATTCAATGAAAATGAAGACACAACATATCCAAACTTATGGGACACTTTGAAAGCAGTGCTAAGAGGAAAGTTCATAGCACTAAGTGCACACATGAAGAAACTGGAGAATAGTCACACTAGAGAATTAACAGCACAACTGAAAGCTCTAGAACAAAAAGAAGCAAACTCATCCAGGAGGAGTAGATGCCAGGAAATAATCAAATTGCGGGCTGAAATCAATAAAGTAGAAACTAGGAAAACAATACAAAGAATCAATGCAATGAAGAGTTGGTTCTTTGAGAAAATCAACAAGATAGACAAACCTTTGTACAAACTTACCAAACGTCAAAGTGTGAGCATGCAAATTATCAAAATCAGAAATGAAAAGGGGGACATAACAAGGGACACTGAGGAAATCCAGAGAATCTTCAGGTCATACTTTGAAAACCTGTACTCCACAAAATTCGAAAATTTAAAGGAAATGTGTTGAGTGAAGCCTTTTCCTTGCCAGCCGCTTTGGTTTTTCCCCACTAGTTTCCTGGGCTCTGCCACATTGTAGTCCCCAAATAACACACAAGACGCTGTATTAATTATGAAGCTGTTGGCCTTGCTTGTTTCTTACTGGCTAGCTCTGACTTATGTATTTACCTCATAATTGTTATTCTAAGTATTTCTCTTACCAGAGAAAAGGTCTGGACTTCTTACCCCTATGGCAGCTACATCTTGACTCCCTGTGTTTCTCCTACCCAGAGTCCTCCTCGACTCCTAGTCCCACCTATCTTGCTTCCCTATTGGCTAACAGTGCTTTATTGACATATATACAGGACTTCCTCATCAGAAATGGACAATTTTCTAGATAGATATCACTTATCAAAATTAAATGAAGAGCAGATAAGCAATATAAACAGACCTATAACCCCTAATGAAATAGAAGCAGTCATCAAAAGTCTCCCAACCAAAAAAAGCCCAGGCCCAAATGGCTTCAGTGCAGAATTCTACCAGAAATTTAAAGAAGAGCTAATTCCAATACTCAAAGTGTTCCACACAATAGAAGCAGGAGGTTCATTGCCAAACTCTTTTTTACAAAGCTACAATTACCTTGATATCAAAGCCACACAAAGACACAACTAAGAAAGAGAACTACAGACCAATCTCCCTCATGAACATTGATGCAAAAATACTCAATAAAATATTAGCAACTCGAATCCAAGAACACATCAGAAAAATCATCGACCATGATCAAGTAGGCTTCATCCCGGGGATGAAGCGATGCTTCAACATACGAAAGTCCATCAATGTAATTCACCGTATAAACAAACTGGAAAAGAAAAACCACATGATCATCTCACTTGATGCAGAAAAAAACCTTTGACAAAATCTAACATCCCTTCATGATAAAGGTCCTAGAGAGATCAGGAATAACAGGAACATACCTGAACATAATAAAAGCAATATACAGAAAACCAACAGCTAACATCAAACTGAATGGAGAGAAGCTCAATGCAATTCCTCTAAGATCAGGAACAAAGCAAGGCTGCCCCCTCTCCCCATATCTCTTCAATATTGTACTGGAAGTTCTAGCTAGAGCAATAAGACAATAAAAGGAGATCAAGGGGATACAAATTGGAAAGGAAGAAGTCAACTTTCACTTTTTGCAGAGGATATAATAGTTTACATAAGTGATCCGAAAAACTCTACAAGGGAACTCTTACATCTGATGAACACCTTCAGAAAAGTGGCAGGATGCAAGATCAACTCAAGAAAATTAGTAGCCATATTATATACAGACAATAAAAGGACTGAGAAAGAAATCAGAGAGGCCGGGCATTGGTGGCGCACGCCTTTAATCCCAGCACTCGGGAGGCAGAGGCAGGCGAATCTCTGTGAGTACGAGGCCAGCCTGGTGTACAGAGTGAGTTCCAGGACAGCCTCCAAAACAATGCAGAGAAACCCTGTCTTGAAAAAAAAAAAAAACAAAAAACAAACAAACAAACAAAAGAAATCAGAGAAACATCACCCTTTACAATAGACCCAAACAACATAAAATATCTGGGAAAATGCTAACCAAACAAGTGAAAGACCTTGAGCAGCAAGATCTTTGAATCTTTAAAGAAAGAAATTAAAGAAGATACCAGAAAATGGAAAGATCTCACATGCTCTTGGATTGGTAGGATTAACATAGTAAAAATTGCAATCTTGCCAAAAGTAATCTACAGATTCAACACAATCCCCATCAAAATATGGACACAATTCTTCACTGACATTGAAAGAACAATACTCAACTTTATATGGAAAAATAAAAGACCCAGAAGAGCCTGAACAACACTGTACAATAAAGGAGCTTCTGGAGGCATCGCCATACCTGACTTCAAGCTCTATTATAGAGCTGTAGTAATGAAAACAGCTTGGTATTGGCACAAAAATAGACAGGTAGACCAATGGATATGAATTTAAAACCTGACTCTAACGCACACACATACAAACACTTGATTTTTAACAAAGAAGCTAAAATTATACTTTGGAAAAAGACAGCATTTTCAACAAATGGTGCTGGCATAACTGGAGGCTGACATGTAGAAGACTGCAGACAGACCCATGCCTATCACCCTGCACAAAACTTAAATCCAAATGGATCAAAGACCTCAACATAAATCCAGTCACATTGAAACTCTTAGAAGAGAAAGTGGGACGTACCCTTGAACAAGTTGTACAGGAGAGTGCTTCCTGAACCTAATACCAGTAGCACAGATGCTGAGATCAACAATTAATAAATGGGACCTCTTGAAACTGAGAAGTTTCTGTAAAGCAAAGGACTCAGCAAGACAAAAAGGCAGCCCACAGAATGGGAAATGATGTTCACTAACCCCGTATCTGACAGAGGGCTGATCTCCAAAATTTACAAAGAACTCAAGAAGCAAGTCTCCAAAATGCCAAGGGATCCAATTAAGTAGAGAATTCTCAATAGAGGAGTTTAAGATGGCTGAGAGACATTTGAGAAAATGCTCAACAACCTTAGCCATCTGGGAAATGCAAATCAAAACAACCCTGAGATATCATCTTACTCCTGTAAGAATGGCTAAAATCAAAAACACCAATGACAATTTATGCTGGAGAGGATGTGGAGAGAGGGGAACACTCCTCCACTGCTGGTGGGAGTGCCAACTCGTACAGCCACTTTGGAAATCAGTATGGAGATTCCTCAGAAAAATGAGAATCAGTCTACCACAAGATCCAGCAATTCCACTCTTAGGCATATATCCAAAAGATGCACATTCATACAACAAAGATGTCTGTTCCACTATGTTCATAGCAGCATTATTTGTAATAGTCAGAACCTGGAAGCAAACTAGATGCCCCTCAACTGAAGAGTGGATAGAGAAAATGTGGTACATTTACACAAAGGAGTACTATTCAGCAGAAAAAAAGAATGGTATCTTGAAATTTGCCGGTAAATAGATAGCACTAGAAGAAACCATTCTGAGTGAGGTAACCCAGTCTCAAAAAGACAAACATGGTATGTACTCACTCATATATGGATTTTAGGCATGAATCAGGGGAGTGCCAGCCTACAATCCCACACTTAGCAAGTCTGAGACACAGGGAGGACCCTAAGAGGGACATGCATGGTAACCCAGAGAAGGGGAACAGGACAGAATCTTCTGAGGGGACAGGGAGCAAGGTGGGAGGAAGCTGGGAGAAAGAGAGGTGGTGAAGAGGAGGGGAGAGGAGGACATGGGGGAGCAGGAAAGTTGAGTCGGGGAAAGAATAGAAGAGAGAAAGATGAGAGAAACCATAATAGAGGGAGTCATTATAGGTTTGAAGAGAGGTCTGGCTCTAGTGAGACTTCCAGAGATCTACAAGGATGGCACCAGCTGGCAATCTAACCATAGTGGAGAGGCTACCTTAAATGCCCTTCCCTGATAATATGATTGATGACTTCCTTGTATGCCATTCTGGAGCCTTCATCCAGTGACTGAAGGAAGCAGAGGCAGACACCCACAGCTAAACACTGGACTGAACTCCTGGAACCCAGTTGCAGAGAGGGAGGAGTGATGAACAAAGGGGTTATGACTTGGCAGGTGAAACCCACAGAAACAGCTGACCTGAACAAGGGGGAGCTCATGGACCCCAGACTAATGACTGAGAGGCCAGCATAGGACTGATCCAGACCCCCTGAACGTGGGTGTCAGTGAGGAGGCCTCAGCATTCTTTGGGGCCTTGGGCAATAGATCAACATTTAGTTAAGTCATCCAGATGGACTTTGGAAGCCCATTCCACGTGGAGGGATGCTATCTCCACCTGGACACATGGGGGAGGGCCTAGGCCCTGCCTAGGATCATATGACAGACTTTTGAGATTCCCCCATGAAGGGCCTCATCCTCTTTGAAGAGTGGAGTGGGGATTGGGGGAGGGGTTGGGGAAGGAAGGGAGGGAGAGGGAGCTGGGATTGACATGTGAATCAAACTTGTTTCTAGTTTAAATTTAATTTAAAAAAGAGAAAAAAGAATAAAGTACAGAAAGAAAAGAAAGACCTATTTATTTTATTGTTTTGGTAGGATCTTGGTATACAGCCTATTGTTATGTCTGCCTCACCGACACTGGGATTATAGATGCACACCAACCACATCAGCCTAGGCGAAGCTTTTTCTAGGCTGGGGATACTTAGTTGAGCTATCCACAACTTACGTCAGAATGAGAGAAACATCTTGGGCAAACTTTATTCTATCATACCTTAAGGAAACATTTGAGAGTTGAGCAGAAAGATATCCCGACGTCCGACAGACTCCAGCTGTTCCTTAGGGCAGCTCCGGCATATACCAGCTCTAAATACCACCTGCCTTGCTGGTCTTCAGAAAGAGGAATGTGGAAGTAATCCTTAAAGAGAAGCGCTCTTGTGAAAACAGTCCTTCTCTTCATTAGCAGAGCAGAAACACACTGCCCCCTTCCTCTTTCTCCCCTTCCTCCCTCTCTCCCTTTCCCCTTCTTCCTCTCTCCTGCCCTCCCTTCCCAGGTGTTATAATTGCTTTAGAACAAAGGGAAGGGAGATGGGGAGAGGGTTCTTAACTTGGACCCTATTGCTCTCCAAAAGTTTATAAATAGATTTTAGTTGGGGAAAAAAGTACACCTTCATTTAAGACTTTTTATTTTATGTGTGTCAGTACTTTGTCACATGTATGTCTGTGACCACGCGTGTGCCTAGAACCCAGGGGTGCTAGAAGAGGGCATTGGAGCCCCTGGACCTGGAATTACAGATGGGAGTCAGCTGCTGGTGAGCACTGGGACTTGAACCCTGGCCCCCTGAAAGAATAGCTATTGCTCTTAACCTCTGAGCCAGCTCTCCAGTTGCTCCAGCTTTATTTTTGTTAACTCTAAGTGAAACTGGTATTTTTCCCTCTTTAATTACATTTAATTAAGTCATTATCTGTACCTGTGACTTTGTCACCGATTAAAAATTGCATTCACTTACATGTCCCATCACTGCTGCTGCAGATAATTCAGAAGATTATGTATGCTCATCACTAATTTGAAAGTATACTGCTACTTGTTAAGTGCTCTTCTAGGACCTCCTGGCTAATGTTAATAGTAAAATCTCCTATGCCATGACACTGTCCTAAATGTGATTTTTATTATTTGAAGATTACACTTCAATTCACTTCTTGTTTTCTTTGAGAGTCTCTTACTCTGTGACCTATGCTGGTCCCTAGTGTCCTCAGTGCTAGGATTCTAGGCACGTAGCACCATAGCCTGTGTGGTTCTCTGTATTGTCTCTAGTGTATGCATTTAACAACATTCTGAGAGGGAGCTCATCTGCTTTAACGACTTCAAACAGATTGATGACACATAATGGGCATTATCTCCTGTGCGAGATCGAGATTGCAATAATCTCCTGTCACTAACACTCCTCAGGAAATACTCAGAATGGCTGGGCGTGGTGGCATACTCTTTAATGCCAGCACTGGGGAGGCAGAGGCAGGCACTCTGAGATTGAGGCTGGCCTGGTCTGCAACCAGAGCTAGATAGTGAGACCCCAATCTCAAAAAACAAAACAAAACAAAAGAAAAAAAACAGTAAAAATAAAGCACAAAAGAAATACTTGTTAATAAATGAGAATGACTGCCTCTAAATTAAACATTTCATGACTGTCTCTGAAGCACATATGTTCACTAATGTCTTCTCTGTTTCCTAAATCCTTTGGTTTGTCATATCTGCTTGCTCACCAAACAAGGTATTTGTCAGAGAGCTGACACTCTCTCTGATGTACTAACATTAGTGTTGCATTTTGTTCTTTTATGAATAATTGCAATTAGCTATGTAGTCCAGGCACAACCCATGAACTCACTAAAGAGAAGTGAAACTTGACTCCTCCCCCCCCTTTCCCGAATACTGACTCAGTTTGTATTCTTATCTAAGTTTTCCAAATAAACCACATTCTTAGCAATATAGCATGCAAACAAATAGTGATATTTTCCAAAACCTCTTTGTTCCTAGTGTTAACATTGTACCCAGTGGTGTTTCTATCCTATGCAAACTTTAAACTATGTAATGCACAATTAAACTTATCTTAGTGACCCTTGACTAAACACATACCTTTACCATCTGTTTGATGGCCTCCACAGACTCATGCGCTGAAACATCAAATGCCTCAAAAGACCCCTCGAAAGCCACAAAAATCCTCATCACGCAGCTAACCCCTCAGAAACAGGACAGACAAAACAGAAATTCCGTTTTCAGAGATAGCTGGAAAAATTTCCCAGTTAAAGACGAAATTGATGGCCAGAGGCAGCTGTCACTGTTTATTCTCCACAGCGACGGGAAGAACGTAGAGCCACACCCACAGTATCCCAGCAAGGGATACAACAGAGACAGTGCCTGTTGGAGGAAATGCTTCTCTCAGAAGATGGTCACAACAGCCACCTTGTTCTCAGATTACAGGAACCAGGGCACCAGACAACGGCCCAGGCAAGTGTGAGCAAGCCTGCTGACACGGAGCGCAAAGATCCCACACTCGAGCTGCACTTGGGTGTTGCAGCCACGCCCCCTGGGTCTCGAATTCACTAGAGGACAGCTGGTCGTAGAACCCATGAGAATACAGCCTTCCTCGGGGTCCGCCAGCGTGTGGCAAAGCAGATGGAGCTGACTTTGCTGAATAAGAGGGTCCTGGAAGTTCTCCAGTCTCCATAACCACTTTGTGTACTTGTTCTCTGGCAACGTGTCTAACCCTGCCACGGGGTACAGAACAATACCCACTCACACCAAGGAAACGAGTGTGGCTTTCCCTTCCCATCCTTGGATAACAAAACCTGCTGCACAGCAACACAATGTAATTCATTTTTTTCCCTATTTTTCAGTCTTTGTGCTACTTGGAACAATATGCCATTGTGATCTCTTTCTACCCCCCTTGTCATCAGTGGAGTCCTCTCTCTCTCTCTCTCTCTCTCTCTCTCTCTCTCTCTCTCTCTCTCTCTCTCTCTCTCTCTCTCTCTCTCTCTCTCTCTCTCTCTCTTTCTTATTGGAAATAAATTCTTCCACAGTGGACGTGAGCCCGTCCGAGCAAGGGCCATGTGGGCAGAGGGAGAGGAGAAGAGGGAGGGGAGAGAGGGAACTGGGCTTAGCAGCCATGAGGGCAAAGGTACGAAAGGAGCAGGTAACCAAAATAGTTGGACTGTACAGGGAAGATCCAGCCCCTGGGGCTGCAAAGTTCTGGGTAGAGGTTGGGGTATAGCAGCTCTACCCTATAACGGGTGGGGACTGAGGGATGCCGGGGAGAACCTGGCAGCCGGGTCAGCCGTTTGTTCCAGGGTTTGAAACCAACCCCCCCGCCCCTGCCACCCCCACCCTCCCTCTTCCCCAGATCCACTCCCCTTCTTGTTTTCTCTTCAGAAAAAGAGCAGGCCTCCAAGGCGTGACAGCCAGACAGGATAAATCAAGACGCGGGAAGACAAGGCTGGACAGGGCAACCGAATAGGTGGTGGGAGAGAGTCCCGAGAGAGCAGGCAGCAGAGCGAGCGGTGCACCTGCTTCCACGTTAGGGGTCTGTGAGGGGGACCCCAGCCACCCTGACGAAGGGAAACGTTCTGCTGTCACGGCAGGAAGCAGGGCATGCTGCCCTGCAGGCGGACCCCGAGCTACGAAGAAGGGGCTGAGAGTTCCGCATCTTGACTCCTCGGCTACAGGAAGCGGTCTGTCTTAACTGGGCGCATGCGAAACTTCACGTATGTTTGAGCAAGAATGAAACCTCGAAGACCACCTCCACTGTGGGCACACTTCCTCCCACAAGGCCACGCCCCCGAAACAGTGCCACTCCCTTTGGGCGTCATCTTTTTGCAATCCATCACAGAGTCCCACAGGACCCCAAGCTGTCGGCCCTAATGTATATGCAGAGGGCCTGGTGCAGACCCACGCAGGCTCTGTGCCTGCAGCTTCGGTCTCTGTGAGCCCACGTGAGCCCTGCTTGGTTGATTCTGCGGGCCACGCCCTCCTAGTGTCCTCCATCCCTTCTGAGTCCTTGAGTCTTTCCTCCCTGATCTCTCTCTCCTCTCTCTCTCTCTCTCTCTCTCTCTCTCTCTCTCTCTCTCTCTCTCTCTCCCTCTCCCTCCCCCTCCCCCTCCCCCTCCCCCTCCCCTCTCCCTCTCCCTCTCCCTCTCCCCTCCCTCTCCCCTCCCCCTCCCCTCCCCTCCCCCTCCCCCTCTCCCTCTCCCTCTCCCTCTCCCCCTCCCCTCCCCCTCCCCCTCCCTCTCCCTCTTTGCACTGGCTGCCACCCGCCCAGAGGAAGCCTCCCCGCGATGACAACTGGACAGGGCGTTGAACTATGAGTAAAGCAGAGTATCACCAGGACTCATTTCATTGATTTTTTTCCCCCCAGTCATGTTTGGTTCTCCCCTAGGTCTCTCAAGGCTAAGCAGTCTTTGGCTTCTGTCCATCCAGGCAGGGTAGGGATGGGCTCCCACGTGGTGTGGACCTCAAGGTAAACCAAACATTGCCAAGGACAACATCCACACAACTCTTTGAATGCAGAGAGGTTGAGCTGGAGCCTGCGTGGGGCGATCAAAGAGTTGTGTGGACAGTTGCTGCGACCCGTTAATACAGTTCCCCATGTAGCGACCTCCAAGCGTAAAATTATTTTTGTTGCTGCTTCGCATCTATAATTTTGCTGCTGTTATGGATAAATAACGTAAATATCTGATATGCAGGATATTTGATGTGCGAACCCTAAGGAAGGGTAGTTCAGCTCTCGGAGGGGTCGTGACCTGCAGGTTGAGAACCACTGCTCTAATCTCTTTAGTGTGAGAAGGTGCTCTGCAGGCTATGGAAGGAGAAACCCAGACACCAACCCAGCCACGGAACTCTCCTTACAATCTGTCCTGGCTGCAAGACGTGCTGGGACAATGGTGGTGCAGAGCTTGTGGGGACGGCCAAGTTAGTGTGTGAACGGCCAGGTTAGTGTGTGAACGGCCAGGTTAGTGTGGGGATGGCCAGGTTAGTGTGTGAATGCAAGTTAGTGTGTGGATGGCCAGGTTAGTGTGTGGACGGCCAGGTTAGTGTGGGGACAGCCAGGTTAGTGTGGGGACGGCCAGGTTAGTGTGTGAACAGCCAGGTTAGTGTGGGAACGTTGATCAAATTTCAGTTTGAACATTTCCCCAAACCTGAAAATCTGTCCCCTGAAATCCTCTTTATGACACGCTTGGCGTCTGATACGTACGTATGCGTGTGTGTGTGTGTGTGTGTGTGTGTGTGTGTGTGTACCTCTGCCTTCTCCCTAAAAGCATCTGACTCAGGACAGAACCGTGATCTTGAATAATATAATTTATAATTAGTAAATATAATTATATATAATTAACACATATAATTAATAAAAATTGTTCTTAACTGCACTGAGCACAACTTGAGTCACTCGGCAGGTGTTTGGTGTTAACCTGGCTCAGCGTGGTGGCTCCTGCTTGTAAGGCCAGTGCCAGAGGACTGAGAGAGGAGGCTTGCCACGACTTGGAGGCCCGCCAGAGCTATGGCGGGAGATGCTGTCTCTTAGCAATCACATTACCAACTGAGCCGTATGCACGTCCCCTGCCCATGATATTTATTTATGTATTTATTTATTATTTTTATGGATATGGGTGTATTGCCTGGAAGTATGTTTGTGCATCACATGCCTGGGGCCCTCAGAATCCAGAAGAGGGCGGAAGATTGCCTGAGATTGGAGTTACAGACAGTCGCGAGCTGCCATGTGGATGCTGGAAATTGAATTCAGGTCCTCTGGAAGAGCAACCAGTGCTCTTAACCTCTGAGCCATCTCCCCAGTCCTCTTGCCCTGTGTTTTGAGAATTAAATTTCTAAAGGAATATAACTTCTTGTTAGTATTCTTTGTGTTTTCATATTAATCCCGATTCTTTGTGGTTTAGCTTAATTTTATCTTTAAAGTAACTTATTGGATGGCAGAGATAGGTAGATCTCTGTGAGTTAGACACCAGCATGGTCTACATAGTAAGTTCCAGAACAGCCAGGCCTATGTAGAGAGAACCTGTCTCAAAAAAAAAAAAAAAAGAAAGAAAGAAAGAAAAAGAAAAGAAAATAACCTATTAATCATTACTTTAACTGGAAAAACAACCATGTGGGTTTGGGAAATTGACATCTAGATATGTTGTTCTAAATACAGCAGGCCTTTGCAAAGGGCAAGCAGAGAAAAGGAGATTTTTTTCCCCTCAAATAAAGAGGGAACTGAAAAACCAAGACACGGTTCCTTGAATTTGTTACTGGGCAAATAGAAAAGCAGGAGAGGGCCAATATATTACCACTCCCAAGTACAGAAGGAATGGTGATCAGGAAGTTTGTTCAGGGGACAAAGCTACTGCTCCCTGGCTCAGAGCACTTGTTTCTCTCGCAGAGGACGAGTTCAACATCAGCACCCATGTGGTGGCTCCCACCCACCCATAGCTCCAGACTCAGGGGCTGTGGTGTTGCATGCAGGGCATATACATGAATACAGGCAAAACAGTCATGCACATGAAATAACAATAAATAAATAGCGAGAAGGTTGACCAGCAGCCTAAAACCAAATTTCCAACTTCTACTTTAGACCTACTGAGTCAGAAAACTTAGTGTACTGATTTTCTCAAGTGTTGCTGCTTATAAAATTTGAAAAATGATCCTGTACATAATGCTGTAGTTCATAGTTCAGCAATACCGATGAGATGTCTCTTGACCACAGAGTTTTCTCACCTATTATTTCAGAATCTAAATTTTCCTTTTCGCTGGAGGCACTGTGGCTTCTGAAGGCAAATTCCCTTGTATTTATCTACTTGAAACTTTTCTAAAAGGAGGGGGAGCTGTGGTCATGCAAGACTAATAAGTTTCACATGTTGGAGTCAGAATGATGGGTTTGAATAATGTGTGTAGTTAGGGAGGGCAGTCATGTAATCAAATCAAAACTCAAGACATTGCATTATTTGCCCCAGATTACTTAGGAGAGAGTTCTTTGGTTTAGACCTGAAATCCTCTTTCTCATATCACAATGGCTCTCATGAATCATTTGGATGCAGAGCTCAGGCTGAACTCCAGTTCCAAGCAGAGCACAGTGGTGAATGCCTTTAATCCAGGCACTCAGGAGGCAGAGGCAGACCTGTTCTACAGAGAGAGTTCCAGGACAGCCAGGGCTGTTACACAGAGGAACCCTGTCTCAAAAGACAAACAACAAGAAGCAACAAACAAACAGAAAACAGTTCCAGAGCCCAGGATATTTGCTCCATTCCTCATGAGCTGTGTGAGCAGTTTCTTTGAGTCATAGCACCCTTCTCAGAAAGCTAAACAGCAATGGTTCTGAGGCTGTTCATAGAACTGATGCAAAACCTCAGAGCAGTGTTGTGTTGCTGTTGGTGCTTCTTCAGTTACTGAAGAGAACTGAAACGTTGAAAAAATATGGAAAGGCTTCAAGGGCACTCGTCTCCTACAGACAGTTAGATATAGACAAGAACGGTTATGAAAATAAAAATGGGAAAGGCTTCAGATACACTTTGCGCAGTTAAACATTTTGACTTGGCACTGAACACAATTAGGAAAAAACTAATAAAAAAAGCGGTATCGGCCGGGCGTTGGTGGCGCATGTCTTTAATCCCAGCACTCGGGAGGCAGAGGCAGGCGGATCTCTGTGAGTTCGAGGCCAGCCTGGTATACAAGAGCTAGTTCCAGGACAGCCTCCAAAGCCACAGAGAAACCCTGTCTCGAAAAACAAAAAAACAAAAACAAACAAAAAAAAAAGCGGTATCATTGTGGAGTAGCAGTGAGAGGAGCAAGCTGGAGAAAGATGACTAAGTCAGCTAGAAAAGGTCAGAGACAGCAATCTGCTCTGGAAATGACAAGTCAGTGGATACGGATTTCCTGTTCTTTATGGTGTCTACTGTCTAGCATATCTTGTAG